CAGCGGTCAACCCGGCTTGTTTTGAAGGGCATGTTTGGAATAGCAACGCATGCAATCCCATTTGGCATGTTTACCGAATGGCATCTTGACCGTGGAGCTAGCCGGTGTGGAACGGCTTTCTGTTTGGTGCGGTAGCTGTGGTCAGCTAGAGCGTTGCTCAAGCGAGGGTCAGAGCGTTGCTCAGACAGACCGTCGCAATCGCTGTGCCAGCAAGGGAAAAAGCATGTTTACAGTGAACGCAGCCTGTGTGGAACCGGCCGGTATGGAAGAAGTGTCCTGAGTAGCACGTCTGAAGCCTTGGTCAGCTAGAGCGTTGCTCAAGCGAGTGTCAGAGCGTTGCTCAGACCGACCAGAGAAGGCCAGCGGTCAACCCGGCTTGTTTTGAAGGGCATGTTTGGAATAGCAACGCATGCAATCCCATTTGGCATGTTTACCGAATGGCATCTTGACCGTGGAGCTAGCCGGTGTGGAACGGCTTTCTGTTTGGTGCGGTAGCTGTGGTCAGCTAGAGCGTTGCTCAAGCGAGGGTCAGAGCGTTGCTCAGACAGACCGTCGCAATCGCTGTGCCAGCAAGGGAAAAAGCATGTTTACAGTGAACGCAGCCTGTGTGGAACCGGCCGGTATGGAAGAAGTGTCCTGAGTAGCGCGTCTGAAGCCTTGGTCAGCTAGAGCGTTGCTCAAGCGAGTGTCAGAGCGTTGCTCAGACCGACCAGAGACGGCCAACTGTCAACCCGGCTTGTTTTGAAGGGAATGTTTGGAAGAGCAACGCAGGCGATCCTGTTTGGCGGCATGTTTACAGTGAACCGGGTCGCTGTGGAGCTGCTTTCTGTTTGGCAGGTTTAGAGAACGGCATGTTTAAAGGCAGGGTGCTGTAGCTTTGGTCAGCTAGAGCGTTGCTCAGGCGAGCGTCAGAGCGTTGCTCAGACCGACCAAAGCAAGAGCAGTGCGAAGGCAATTGGGCAACATAGTTACAGCAGTGCAAAGCAGCGCGGCCGACCGGAAGCACTTCAACCGCCAGCTGTCAACCCGGCCTGTTTTGAAGGGCATGTTTGGGAGACTAGATTAAGCGAGCCGGTTTAGCATGCGTAGCGAACGGCACATTGACAGTGAACCACCGTTTAGCAACAAGACGTCATTCAAACAAAGCCAACATATTTCACTGACGTAGATGGGGGGATGGTCCGTGACCTAGATGGACACCATGTTTATAGTGAATCTAGCCTGTAGCAGATGGAGCCTGGTCACGACGTGTTTGTCGCAATGGCTGCAGAGCAAGACAGGTACTGGTGAGTTGGTAAGCTTAGACCGTACATGTGACGGGCTAAGATAGAGGGGTAAGATTTCCGAACCTAGATCTGGAGCGACAGCTTTCGATGGGACTGTTGCACTCTGCGTCTGCCACGAAGGGCTGTTGCACTCTGCGTCTGGGTTCAGACGGAAGTCTCAACAACGAATCAGATTAGAAGCGACGCGACACATGTCCAACAACGATCGTAGACGGCCAAACGCAGCACCGAAACGGAAAAGACAATTGTAGGACAGGAGTACGCACACAAAAGCACAGCAGCACCATCTCCCGCAATGTGACACACACACACCCCCTAGCTCCGCTGCCGGACCACCTGGAGGCCATGGACATTGAGCGCCGTGCAGCGCAGCTTGGCAGGGTAGCAAGTCCCATCCCAGGGGATGGTTGGTGCCTGCTGCATGCTGTGGCTTGGTATACCAAACTGACGAGCAATTCCTGGAATGTCGAAATGGCAGCAGGAACATATTTGCTAGCCTTGGAATGGTTGACAGGGCAATTGACTGGTCCGCGGGCGGAAGCCATCGCGTTCGCTTGCATGCCCGAACGCGTGGCCGAACTGGAGTTGCATCGGGAGTTTTTGCAACGTCGTGGCATTGTCGTCACCCCCGACATGCCGCAATGCCAAATAGTTTTATGGAGCAAGATTATGGCCGTTGCTGGCAAGCCAAGGATGCTAGATTCATACCACCACGGAACCAGTGTGGAACTTTGGGCTTTGTCCAACCTGTATGGTTTCGACGCGCTGATTTGGAGCACGCAACCAAACCAGAACCTTTGGATCCGTGCATCGACGTTGGAACACGTGGATGATGCCCAAGCGCAGGAACTGGTAGAAGCACAGCCCGAGATGTTGCAAGTGATCCACCAGCAAATGGGGCACACCGGGCACTATGGGCTTTTGCGGACAGAACGTCCGGGAATGGTTCGGGGCTACTGTATCAGTCCTTGGCTGAATGCTTGGTTTAGAGGGATAAGAGCTTTGCAGCAGCACATAGATGCATGTCCGGCGTGTAAATGTCACAAATGTCATCAATGCAAGCCCAAGACACCCATGTCGGAGCCATGGTGCGAGGACTGCGCCTTCCCAGCTTGCCTAGACTGTGGGTGCCCGCGCCCAAGGCAAAAGATGTATCATGCCCGGCGCCGAGGCATGCGACAGTGGACGTGTTTGGATTGCGCCAACACGTGTTCATCGTGTCATGCGCCGTTGGCCAGAACGGCTAATCGGGGCACATGGTGTGCAGAGTGCGCATACCCGCCGTGCGACGGTTGTGGGAGGGTGCGTCCTAAGGAACGCCGATACCATGCCAAACACACGCCTGCCTGGAAGTGCCCGGCCTGCAGTGGAAAGCAGTGCGGAAAGTGCGGGCAAAGTCTGGGCGCAAAAGTTCGGGTTGGAGCTTGGTGTCCTACGTGCGCGTTCCCACCCTGCGCTGCCGGGTGTGGCAAACCACGTGCTTCGCGTCGGCCACAGTACCACGCCAAGCGCATGCCAGAGTGGTTCTGCCCAGACTGCAACTACCAAAAGGCACCTGACTGTGAATAGGCGTGCCGCCACTCCCACGCAGAGCGTTGCTCAGCGGAGCGCCAGGGCGTTGCCCAGAGCCGGGGGAAGCGCAGGCGCCAAATATGGCACAGCCAATCCTTGAGGACCAATACCGAAAGTGCCAAGCGACCTTTGGAAGCGGCGCTGTTGGGTGACGGAGGCCCCAAAGAGGCTGCCTTAAATTTAAAGCAGCCTTCACAGAGCGTTGCGCAGCGTCGCTCAGTGCCAGATCCGCTAGCCGTCGCAGAGCGTTGCTCAGTGATTTAGCCAGAGCGTTGCGTAGGGATGCGTAGGGTGTGCATCCCAAAGGGCGCAGAAAAAAGGCGGCGGGAACAAGAGTTTAGGGCAGTCCTTGCAGCCACGTCCGCTCTGAGATGCCGCCAAGCGCCTATAAGGCAGACCTTTTTTTCGAACCTCCGGTAAAAACATCAAGGGCATCACTTCAATTCAATTGATAAGGGTAGAGCATGGCACTCTTCCCACGCCAGGACAAGCCGCTGTGGCAAGGCAACCCGCAGGGGTGAACAACGCAAGCGCGCAGAGGACTGGATTGCCGATGTCAAAGAACAAAAGCCGTCTGTTCTTGGGCACCCTTTGTAATTTGGTTGTGCCCAAGCAAGTAAAAAGTTCAGGGGCGCCAGTTCAGGTTCAAACAGACACACAAAACCAAACGCCGCCCCAGTCTTCCCACGCCAGGACACGCCAACCCACGACAACGCAAGCGCACAGAGGAGTGGCCGCCCAATAGGCCTCGCCTCCATAGACTTGCCGACGTCACACGTGACTGCGCAGAGACCGCCGCCGGTCGAACGCATGACCTGGCTGGCCATGCCAAACGCGGTCAGACATAGAAGCAACGCTCCCGCCCCGGTGGCTTGGTTTGCCATTGTGTTGGCCTCGTTGTCGTTGGCCAGCTTGTTGTAGTTGTAGTTGTAGTAGTAGTTGTTGTTGGTGGTGGTTGGTGGTTGGTTGTCGGTGGTTGGTGGTTGGTTGTTGGTTGTGGTTGTGGTTCTGGTTGTGGTTGTTGTGGTTTGTATTGTGGTTGTTGTTGTCGTTGTGGTTGTGGTTGTGGTTGTGGTTGTTGTGGTTGTTGTTGTTGTTGTTGTGGTTGTGGTTGTGGTTGTGGTTGTGGTTGTGGTTGTGGCTGTTGTGGCTGTTGTGGTTGTTCTTGTTGTTCGTCGGACGAAAGAAAGCGAAGCAAGAAAGCAAAGGGTACAAACGTTTGGGGTTGGTCGGTCGGGGTGTGTGCGTTAGGGTTTGGGGCTAGTGGGTTGGGGTTGGGCAGTGGTGGTTGGCAATTTCGGGTGTGGGGTTGGTGGGTTGGGATTGGTCAGGCGTGGTTTGTGCTGGAAGGTTTTGTGCGTTAGGGTTTGGGGTTAGTGGGTTGGGGTTGGGCAGTGGTGGTTGGCAATTTCGGGTTTGGGGTTGGTGGGTTGGGGTTGGTCAGTGGTGGTTTGTGCTTTTGGGTTTGGGGTTGGTGGGTTGGGGTTCGTCGGTCGTGGTTTGTGCTTGCAGGTATGGCATGGGTAGGTTGGGGTAGGTCAGTGGTGGTTTGTGCTTTGGGGTTGGTGGGTTGGGGTTGGTCGGTCGTGGTTTGTGCATGAGGGTTTGGGGTTGGTGGGTTGGGGTTGGTCAGTGGTGGTTGGTGCGTTTGGGTTTGGGGTTGGTGGGTTGGGGTGGGTCGGTCGTAGTTTGCGCTTCACGGTTTGGGGTTGGTGGGTTGAGGTTGGTCAGTGGTGGGCTGTGCCTTTGGGTTTGGGGTTGGTGGGTTGGGGTTGGTTGGTCGTGGGTTGGGCTGGAAGGTTTGGGGTTGGTGGGTTGCGGTTGGTCAGTGGTGGTTTGTGCTTTTGGGTTTGGGGTTGGTGGGTTGGGGTTGGTCGGTCGTGGTTTGTGCTTGCAGGTATGGAATGGGTGGGTTGGGGTAGGTCAGTGGTGGTTTGTGCTTTGGGGTTGGTGGGTTGGGGTTGGTCGGTCGTAGTTTGCGCTTGAATTTTGCGGTTGGTGGGTTGAGGTTGGTCAGTGGTGGGTTGTGCTTGTGGGTTTGGGGTTGGTGGGTTGGGGTCGGTTGGCCGTGGGTTGTGCTGGAAGGTTTGGGGTTGGTGGGTTGGGGTTGGTCAGTGGTGGTTTGTGCTTTTGGGTTTGGGGTTGGTGGGTTGGGGTTGGTCGGTCGTGGTTTGTGCTTGCAGGTATGGCATTGGTGGGTTGGGGTCGGTCAGTGGTGGTTTGTGCTTTGAGGTTGGTGGGTTGGGGTTGGTCGGTCGTGGTTTGTGCGTGAGGGTTTGGGGTTGGTGGGTTGGGGTTGGTCAGTGGTGGTTTGTGCTTTTGGGTTAGGGGTTGGTGGGTTGGGGTTGGGCGGTCGTAGTTTGCGCTTGAGGGTTTGGGGTTGGTGGGTTGAGGTTGGTCAGTGGTGGGTTGTGCTTTTGGGTTTGGGGTTGGTGGGTTGGGGTTGGTTGGTCGTCGTTTGGGCTGGAAGGTTAGGGGTTGGTGGGTTGGCGTTGGTCAGTGGTGGTATGTGCTTTTGGGTTTGGGGTTGGTGAGTTGGGGTTGGTCGGTCGTAGTTTGTGCTTGCAGGTATGGAATGGGTGGGTTGGGGTAGGTCAGTGGTGGTTTGTGCTTTGGGGTTGGTGGGTTGTAGTTGGTCGGTCGTGGTTTGTGCGTGAGGGTTTGGGGTTGGTGGGTTGGGGTTGGCCGGCCTATCTTGAAGGCAATATGGGCGCAGCTTGGGGCTATGTTGGCCCATCTTGGGGCTATGTTGGCCCATCTTGGGGGATATGTTGGCCCATCTTGGGGCTATGTTGGCCGTTGGCCCATCTTGGTGGCTATGTTGGCCCATCTTGAGGCTATGTTGGCCCATCTTGAGGCCTATGTTGGCCCATGTTGACCCATCTGGAGCCACATGTGCGATGTCTGTGCAAAAGATGCTGAATGTCACAGGGCCAAAAAACACTGTAAATTACAGGGGTTTCTGTCGATTGGTGGTCGGTGGTGCGTTGGCTCTGGTGGAGGGTTTGGGGTTTGGGGTTTGGGGCTGGGGTCGTCACTGGCTGTCGGGTGGCGTCGGCATTGGTGGTTGGTGGTGCGTTGGCTCTGGTGGAGGGTTTGGGGTTTGGGGTTTGGGGCTGGTGGGTCGTCATTGGCTGTCGGGTGTTTGGTGTTGTGTGCAATGTTGCCCCCGATGAGGCGATGTTGGCCGATCTTGGGGCTACGTTGCCCCGCTTGACGCTATGTTGGCCGATCCTGGGGCACGTGGGCCCACCTTGAGGCTATGTTGGCCCATCTTGGGGCTATGTTGGCCAATCTTGGGGGATATGTTGGCCCATCTTGGGGCTATGTTGGCCCATCTTGGGGGATATGTTGGCCCATCTTGAGGCTATGTTGGCTCATCTTGAGCCCTATGTTGGCCCATGTTGACCCATCTGGAGCCACATGTGCAATATCTGTGCAAAAGATGTTGAATGTCACAGGGCCAAAAAACACTGTAAATTACAGGGGTTTCTGTCGACACGCGCACCCTACCAGAGGTCGGCGGCAGGGGCGGCAGCCCCTCTCTCCTACGGAGAGGAGAGAAACGCCTTCGGCTATGCCACGGCCAGGGGGCCCCTGGCCTATACACCACCACAGGGGCATCATACCCCCCCCCATCCCATGGGGGGGTGGGAACACGGGACACGGGACCATATATATGTTATTATGTGTGTTCATATGTAATCCACCCATTATGGTGTCCTGACATTCTTCACTTCCGATTTTTGATCACACACAAACGCAGTTCGTTGGGAGTGGGGCAAGCATGGGCAAGCAGCATGGGCAAGCCATTTTCTTGTTTTGGTTGCGATGCTGGGTCAAGGGTTCGATGATTCATGGCATGTTTCGAGCCCTTGGAGTCCAATCAGGAGGGGGTTTTCGTCCGGTGGGAAGAGTGAGAGTTCTGGACAGCGGCTGTCGCGGTGGACATGGCTGGAGGGATGGTGAGGGATGGCCCTTGTAGCGGCATTCCATATGGTAATTTAACGTAGCTATTGAAAATGACCATTTATAGTGGATTTTCCCATTAAAAATGGTGATTTCCCATAGTTATGTTAGTTTACCAGAGGGTATACGACATTTCATTCACAGAGTCTAGACATCATAGATCATCAATGTCTACTGGAAGATTTCTGTCAAGAGCCTGAAGGGCTGCTCAAGAATCCCTCAAAGCATCAAGTTTCACCTGCAATCGTGACTGGTGAGGCAGGAGATGTAGGCTGCTGCTGCACTCAAACACTTCAGCAAATTCATCTGGGTTACTGTATTCCTTTCAGCAACGAATATGACGTAATACGAAATGTCTCCCCATTGGTTGATATCTTCTGTGGGTCAAACTACACATTCATTTGGGTCATCTGGCATCAGTATTTACACCCAGTGCAGACATCGTTACTCAAGCATGCGCACCAATCCTTAGTAGTTTTATCTATAGTTTTTGGACACAGCTGGCCTAGCCCATCTTGTCTTGTCAGTCACTTCACTCAGACGTGGTTCTTCGGATCGTTCTCAGACGAATCCCAGTCCATATGGACGATTTGCCAGCGACGGTTGTAATGATGCAACCCGGGGCTGCGGGACCGCTGTTAGTTTCAGACTGCCCGGCTTTGGGCCGCATGCAAAGCATGTCCCCAAAAGCTCTCGCAGGGCATTCCGATCAAAAAGAACTTTTCCCTTAAATGAATTTAATGATATATTATTCATTTTTTCACCCCGACCCCTCCCATTGAGAAAAGTCATACAACAGATATATTTAGATTTTATCAAACAATATTATTTAGTTATTTTAAATGTCAGATCATTGTAATATCAATGACAAACAACTAAAATAAAGATGGGATGCTGAAAAAAGCAGTGCCTGAAGATTTTGAACTGTCAGATGATGAACCAACAACAATTAACCTAGATAAAGAACAAAAAGTATCAAGTAAGTTATTTACAACTTTTGATTGCCCCCTTTGTCAGGGTAAATTACAGCTAAGAAAGGAAATAGAAATGAACCCCAAAGGATTTAAATGCTGTTGTAATCCCTGCTCATTTGAGTAAAGCCGATAAAACAATGAATGTTAGTAGAGATGAAAACGGAGACATTAAGCTAGACAGCCAGGCCCATAGCATTAGCTTTAGCTGGAATAGGCAAATCACTCCAGAAGACCAAAAGACGGAAAGCACCAATAGAATGATACGTGATGTTATGGGTACTCCACGCAATAACCAGATATGTTCAATAAATGATGTGGATGAATTGATAATTGACTTTTAACTAAACATAAATACATATTTAGAATTTTCTAAATATATATTTCTATATCTTATGAAACCTCAGGAAGTGGATTATAACCTCCTAAGTCAGTTATGGGAAAAGGTAAAAAGTATGAGCGACAACCAAATAGCAATCTTTACTAAGTTGAATGAACTTACAGAATGTAAAGATGCTGAGGACAAGGAAGCTGAAAAGAAGAAAGTTGGACAGATTTTCGAAAAGAAAGGGATAGGAAAACCAAGTGGTACATTTGAAGAAAAGCAAAAGCAGTACTTTGAGATGGTAAACTCTGGGAAGATAAAGAACCTGTAGCCAAGACTAGGCTGTTATCATATCGTAAAAGATGATAAAGGGGGAAATTGCTAATAAATATGTTGCCAAAATGATTTTATAACAATATTCTCAAAATATTGTTATGAAATTGTTGTTTGCTTTGTTTTTTGTTAAAAAGAAAAAACAGCACATACATTATTTCCTCTCACGCACTCCATTCTCACACGCCTCCCCCTCCCATACCCCAACAACAACAACAACAACAACAGCAGCAGACAAACAAACAAACACCCCCTCCCAGCAGGGTGGAAGATGGGCAAAGCCATAGTACACGTGTAAGTAGATATGGATGTAAGGAGATGTATATGTAGATAGAGAAGGGTTTCTTCTCGCAGTTGCATGTGCGTGTGTCATGTTGCACCATGTCATGTTCATATGCGAAGATGCTATTGCTATATTCTTCCCAAATGGTGGATTTAGGTATCCCCAGTCCTCAGCAATCAAAGTAGATTGTTCCCCGCCATTGCCCATGATGCTCTTCACCACCCTCCTGTTGAGCGCCTTTGCCGCTGGCTACCATTTGCCTGAGCCTCCCAATTGCAGTGAAGAAGAACTCATGAACGGCTACAATCACACTCTTCGTGGCGGGTGGATGGACCTCAGTATGTATACCAGATGGCCACGCGACCTCAACCATCACCAGGACCCTAGAATCAACTTCGCTTCAGCGGCAGGCATTTGCACGGAAAAAAATCTGGCCAATGCATCAGGAAATGAATCACTCTTCTGTATCAGCACCCCGCTTCCTTTCTTCAGCCAGTGCCTCCGTGTCAAGAAATCGATCCCTTTGAACGTGACCAATGTGACCAATGTTCTTTCGTCCTGCCACGACTTTGAATCCATTGGAACGGACGTCCTGAACGAGGCGAAGTTTCCTTTCGAGAGTCGCTTCTGCCACAAGTCCCTGCATGGTGACCTCACGAGGCTCCTTTTAGTGGGCACTCGTCAAGGTGCGGAGCGATGGATTGTGGAGACTTGCCATTGGATGAAAGCAAGGATGTGCCACAACCCTGAGATGATGATCTTTCGGAATTTCGTACCGGGACCAGGATACTAGTAATGCGACACTGGGACGCTCCCGTCTTAGTTGTACAGGATGACGCGCAGTTTGTCCCTGAACGTGACACTGGCGTGCTTCATTGCTTTCTTTTGCCTGCACGGGATGAGAGGTTCCCGGCTTGACGCTGACCACCACGTGGTTGCTCTGCAAAAAGTGATGAGGCGTTGTTGTGATTTATGGGGAAATGGTTTATCATTGTATGGTTTCATAATTCTGGGCACACATGTTCAACAAGACAAGTCTTGTTGAAAAAATGGGAGTGTATTGGATGATTTGTTTGATGAGTTATTTGTGTTTAGCTGTCATGATTGCTTGTGGGTTGGTTGTTTGTGGTTAGTTGTTCTGATTGGCTTTGTGATGTTGTTTGTGGTGAGTTTCTGTTCTGGTTCATGGGATATTGTTTTATGATGATGTTGTTTCATAAATTTAGGCGGTCAATTTTTCAACAAGACAAGTCTTGTTGAACAGTTGGAGTTCTTTTTTGATTGGGGTATGTGGTTAGTTTTTCTGATTGCTTGTGGATTGGGTGTTTTTGCTTAGTTGATATGAAATGTTTGTGGTTAGTTTTGCCGGGGTTGATGTGTGTATGTTGGGGGTTGCGAGGTCTGGGGTTCAGGGTTTGGAAGATGGGCAAGTCCCATTCTAATTGTATCATGATATATATATATATATTAATATAACTGTGGTTAATGGGGTTGTAATTCAACTTGTAACTTATTGTAGAGCTTCGCACACCGGCGATGCCTGTAGGGGTCGGGGGAGGGAAAGAGAGAGGGGGATTTCATCTGAACTTGCGGACATGACATGCTGCGAGCTGCATCTTCGTTGTCGTCATCGTCATTGTCGTCGTCGTCGTTGTTGTCGTCGTTGGTGTTGTTGCTTCTGGTCCTCCTTCTCGTTCTCGTTCTTGTTCTTGTTCGTGTTGTCGTTGTCGTTGTCCTTGTTGTCGTCGTTGTCGTCATTGTCGTCGTTGTCGTGGTTGTCGTTGTTGTCGTCATCTTCGTCGTCGTCGGCGTCGTCGTCGTCGTCGTTGTTGTTGTTATAGTTGTTATAGCTGTTGCTGCTTGGTCCTGTTATCGTTGTCGTTGTTAACTTTGTAGTTGGTACTTTTTGCAAACCCTTCAAAATCGTCAAATCGACGGTTTTTGCAAACCCCCAAAAAGCGCCAAATAGGCGGTGTTTCCGCGATTTTTCACATTCCCGGAACAAAAATACACCGTAAATACCGATGTTTTTGGCTCCGCACCAACGCAAAACCACGGTATTTACGAGGTTTTGAGCCTCTGCTAGCAAAAATCACGGTATTTACAATGTTTTGTGGCCCGGGCCTAGCAAAAACACTGGTATTTACGCAGTTTTTTGCATGTTGTCAGAAATTTTTTTTGGATGCCAAAGGCACAAAAACATTGTAAATTACACGATTTTTACGCGTGGACAGTACCAAAAAAATATGAAAATTGACCAAAAATCGACCAAAAAAACGCCCAACAAGGACTTCCAAAACGCATCTTCAAATTTTACCCTCTTTTTTCCCACCCCGAACCCCCAAAAACGTGAAAACCCCAGCAGGCTGAAGGATTTTAGGGGAGGGTCGGCGGCAGGGGCGCGCCCCCGGGTAGCTAAAGCTATGCTTAGCTGCCACCACTACACGGCGAGGCATCGCCGGATTTAAGCGCTTACGCGCGACAGCCGGCCAGGGGCCCAACTATGTTGGCCCATCTTATGGCTATGTTGGCCTATGTTGGCCTCATGTTGACCCATGTTGAGCCGAAAGATCCGAAAAATGGGAATAGAAATAAACATTGTAAAACGCAGGATATCTTGATGGTCGGCGGCCTATCTTGGGGCTATGTTGGCCCATCTTGAGGCTATGTTGGCCTATCTTGAGGGCAATGTGGGCGCATCTTGGGGCTATGTTGGCCCATCTTGGGTCTATGTTGGCCCATCTTGGGGCTATGTTGGCCCATCTTGGAGCTATGTTGGCCCATCTTGGGGCTATGTTGGCCCATCTTGAGGCTTATGTTGATCCATTCATCTTGAGGCCTATGTTGGCCCATGTTGACCCATCTCGAGCCACAAGATCCGAAAAATGGGAAAACATGTTGAATGTCACAGGGCCAAAAAACACTGTAAATTACAGGGGTTTCTGTCGACACGCGCACCCTACCAGAGGTCGGCGGTTGTTGTTACGAAACGATAGGTAGAGAGGGAACGATGCCTGTGTGAAAGTGGTTCCTGTTTGGCACGTTTTGGGAACGGCATGTTTATAGGCAGGGGGCTGTAGCTTTGGTCAGCTAGAGCGTTGCTCAAGCGAGTGTCAGAGCGTTGCTCAGACCGACCAGAGAAGGCCAGCGGTCAACCCGGCTTGTTTTGAAGGGCATGTTTGGAATAGCAACGCATGCAATCCCATTTGGCATGTTTACCGAATGGCATCTTGACCGTGGAGCTAGCCGGTGTGGAACGGCTTTCTGTTTGGTGCGGTAGCTGTGGTCAGCTAGAGCGTTGCTCAAGCGAGGGTCAGAGCGTTGCTCAGACAGACCGTCGCAATCGCTGTGCCAGCAAGGGAAAAAGCATGTTTACAGTGAACGCAGCCTGTGTGGAACCGGCCGGTATGGAAGAAGTGTCCTGAGTAGCACGTCTGAAGCCTTGGTCAGCTAGGCTAGAGCGTTGCTCAAGCGAGTGTCAGAGCGTTGCTCAGACCGACCAGAGAAGGCCAGCGGTCAACCCGGCTTGTTTTGAAGGGCATGTTTGGAATAGCAACGCATGCAATCCCATTTGGCATGTTTACCGAATGGCATCTTGACCGTGGAGCTAGCCGGTGTGGAACGGCTTTCTGTTTGGTGCGGTAGCTGTGGTCAGCTAGAGCGTTGCTCAAGCGAGGGTCAGAGCGTTGCTCAGACAGACCGTCGCAATCGCTGTGCCAGCAAGGGAAAAAGCATGTTTACAGTGAACGCAGCCTGTGTGGAACCGGCCGGTATGGAAGAAGTGTCCTGAGTAGCGCGTCTGAAGCCTTGGTCAGCTAGAGCGTTGCTCAAGCGAGTGTCAGAGCGTTGCTCAGACCGACCAGAGACGGCCAACTGTCAACCCGGCTTGTTTTGAAGGGAATGTTTGGAAGAGCAACGCAGGCGATCCTGTTTGGCGGCATGTTTACAGTGAACCGGGTCGCTGTGGAGCTGCTTTCTGTTTGGCAGGTTTAGAGAACGGCATGTTTAAAGGCAGGGTGCTGTAGCTTTGGTCAGCTAGAGCGTTGCTCAGGCGAGCGTCAGAGCGTTGCTCAGACCGACCAAAGCAAGAGCAGTGCGAAGGCAATTGGGCAACATAGTTACAGCAGTGCAAAGCAGCGCGGCCGACCGGAAGCACTTCAACCGCCAGCTGTCAACCCGGCCTGTTTTGAAGGGCATGTTTGGGAGACTAGATTAAGCGAGCCGGTTTAGCATGCGTAGCGAACGGCACATTGACAGTGAACCACCGTTTAGCAACAAGACGTCATTCAAACAAAGCCAACATATTTCACTGACGTAGATGGGGGGATGGTCCGTGACCTAGATGGACACCATGTTTATAGTGAATCTAGCCTGTAGCAGATGGAGCCTGGTCACGACGTGTTTGTCGCAATGGCTGCAGAGCAAGACAGGTACTGGTGAGTTGGTAAGCTTAGACCGTACATGTGACGGGCTAAGGTAGAGGGGTAAGATTTCCGAACCTAGATCTGGAGCGACAGCTTTCGATGGGACTGTTGCACTCTGCGTCTGCCACGAAGGGCTGTTGCACTCTGCGTCTGGGTTCAGACGGAACCCTGAGCATCCGATATTGATTACAATCAATATCTGAAAACCAATATTGATTTTTAAGGGAAATCAATATTTAATATTGATTTTAGGGGTTTCTAAAATCAATATTTTTTCATAGGTTTTTGGGGACAAAAATCAATATTGAAAATCAACATTTTTTGTGAATATTTTCATCATTTTTGGGGTCCCTTTGCACAACCAGGACCTGCAGCCCACCCATCCAAGCCCTTCTATTTTTTCCATTGCTGTGGCATGTATCCAAGGCTTCCCTTTTTTACAAAGGGTTGTGCTGTCTGTTTTGCTTTGAAAAACATTGAAAGCCTGAGCCTTTTTTTCAAAGGATATTCATGCCCTTTTTCCAAAGGCTGACCTGACCTTTTTCCCAAAGGATTCATGCTTCCATGCAGAAACCTTGCCTGGTCAGAACAAGATGAAGTAAAATGGAATACTTGGGCAAAACTTTGGTGCTGAGCTTGGTGGATGCCACACCATGTGTGCAGCTGTGGGCCATTTTTGCAATGGCTCCCACAAAGTCTTCAGATTTGAAGCACCAATGAAATTTGGGGTTCATGTGGTATGCCCCCAAGCACAGGTGAATGAAGCTGTGGTGCTTGTACACTATATTGTACAGCATTCGGTTTTGCTCTTTGGCCCAGTTGTGCAGGCTGGTGTACTCTTGACAGAAGCTATTGCAAAGGCTCATTGTCAGTTCAAACTCTGCTTCTGTCAAGAATGTGTTTGCACCATCCCACAGGCATTGGAGCTGCACAACCGACTCCATGCATGCAACCATGGTTGCATGGATCTCCCTGTCTCCTGGAAGCATCTTTTTCATCACTGCAAGGAGAGCTGGGGCAAGGTGCTTGCACTCACCTCCCTTGGCACCCAAGAAGGCATAGTCCTGGTGAGGCTTTTGTTCATTTGTGAACATGCTGAGCCTCAAGTTGGTCAGCTCTGTGCCGGCACCTTGCTGCTTGTACATTTTTTGCACATGTAAAAAGATCAGTGCCAGCCTTTCCTTCGGTTTGATTGTTTGGGCACAACCTATTGGGTCATACCAGCACATGTAATGAAGGCATGACCCCAACAGGTGGGCATATATGCCCTTGGTGAACAGGATGTGAAGCCCATCCCCCCTCACCATCCTGGAAGTCACACCACCAATACTGAATATTGGGTGGCTGGATTTGGGGCTTGCCCTGGCCA